GAGCAGGTAGTGTGTAGATGTCTTTTAACCTTTAACTGCCGTGCCAAAGAAAAAAGCTATGGATTTTTTTTTTTTACATTTTCTTATCAAATGGGCCACACAAATAAGCACAAACACATTTTTTTTAACTGACCACACAGTTTTGTTTTTATGAGCCTCTACAAATGGTCGAGCTGGCCTGCCTATGGTAAAAATAATCATCATATACAGTACAGTATTTGTATGCATCAAACTCAAAATAAAACACAAACTCAAATAACATTTGTTTCTTTTATTGAAAATTAGGAAAGTATATACAACCAGAATATATTCATAAAAGATAATAAATTATAATTGTAAAAAAAAAAAAAATGGAAAAAAGTCATGTAAAGTGTTTTTCATGATAAAAAAAAGACTTGCTCATCTTACTGTATGCTGAATTGGCCTAACAAGAAACCACTGGCCTAACAGCACATGTCCATATCCTGTGTTGGCCTAACTTGCTCATCTGTGTGCAATTTTGGGCTGAATGCCATGCATGAAAGGTGCTCTATAAATTATTATCACTCTTTCACTCTGAGACTCATAAGGCAGTACTAGATTTAGTAATATTACCATGAATCTAGCCATTTATTTACCATATTTTATTGGAAAACATCTCTGAAACTCTGAAAAAGTCATATTGCTAGCTTGCCATAAAAGGCCAATTCGACCGATTGGTTGAGCATATTTTCAAAAAAATAATTACACCCTTGTTAAAACTTTTTTTGTACATCAAGTTATCTAATTATGTTCAGTCAGTGCCCTGCCACTAAAATATGTCAAAAATGATATGGTTACCTTACAAAAGTTAACCAAAAAGAGTGATTTCTTCAGCAGTGATTTTTAGCATTGCCAACTTTCTCAGTTGAAGCTAGCTGAAGGGCATTCTGTTTGAACCACAGTGACATCTAGAGGTTGTTTTGTGCATAACATGTCAACCAAAGGGTAGAGCTGGCTGAATCAGATGGATTTTTTTTTTTTCAACAAGATATCAAGACGCGAAATGTGCTCTACCAAATGGTGGTGCTGGCAGTTAAAGGTATATACAAGGCAATATACTGTATGTAGGCAGTATACTGCAAAAAATAAGAAATCCGTAACATCTGCTAAAAACATTGAGGACCTACAGTACACTGTTATCTTGACATGATTTGGAAAGGTTTGCCACGCTGTAAGCACAGAGTTTCTGGTATTGGTGTATTGTCTTTCTTTGATCTGTCATTTGTGACTTTCAAGCGGGTTGGGTGAGCTGGGATTCAGGTAGACGACTGAGGGATGCTGCTGCCATGTTTTCAGTTGTTGGAACAAATAATGCACTTATGGGGGTGTACTGCTGTCAGCAGTCAGACCTCTGTGGTTTGTTCAGGTCCAGTTTTTCTTTTGTTATCTCTTCCATATCACAGCCTGTAATTTGAAAGCATCTCAAGGAAGCTAGAATCCAAGGAAGCAAGTGTCTTATCTTTTCTTATGATTCTCTCTTTACTATAAACCATCAATGAGAGTTATAAATATATTGAACAATAAGAGAATAGTTTACATATCTGCTTATTAAAGCATCAAGATCTTCCTATAGCTTGCCCATAATGGTTAAGACAACACTTTTCATTATTTTGTTGTATCCATATTGTAGGTACTTACAATGCTTATACAACACTGCTATATTAGATATAAGAATGTTAGTGAGTGTGATATGGGTTTCACTACTTTTTTTGTATTTCCATATTGATTTTGTGATTTGCTATGTTCAATTACCAGACTAATTCTGGGCAACACCGTTAATGGTTTCATTAAATTAGACTATGTAACTAATACAGATTGAAATTGGCCAATTTGACTTAATTTAAATTCACAGGATGTTAGAAAACAGCAGGGAAGAGTCATAAAATCCCCAAAATGACTCATCTTTTACACAGCAATGTACCCACAGTTTGCTAACAGAAGCTATCATAAGCTGCTGGCCATGCCAGACAAGGAACACTTAATAAATCATAATTCAGTCAAGCCAAAAATGCAACCACAAACAAGACACTTTTACTAACGACAGTCTACTACAGTCCAACTGAACTGAAAATGTAGCTTGCCTTTTAACAATTCAAGAACATAATTGCTACCTTCCTTTCTGTTTCACGATATTTAATTAGAAAACGGCCAAGAAGAAGGGCAAATATGAATATCTTATTGTGTGAGAATACAATTTGGAAGTGTAAATAACAATTACCGGCAGGGATTGCAGGCAATGCTAACAGCCTCATTGTCCTTGAATTACTACTGTAGGACAAAAGTGATATTCAGCCCAAATGGGTTCATTTGATACGGCACTTAGAAAAACAACATTGTCACAAGGACCCAGCAGCCCAGCAGATGTAGAAAGGAACCATAACAATTATACTAATTGTTCATTTATGCGGTAAACAAAACTGCAATTAAAGGAAAAACAGATGCACATAAACAGGTTATATTTACTCCACCCTTTACCCAGGAGAGAGGCTTATCGATTAGCATTTAAAGCATGCCAACTTCTGTTTAAATGAATGCTGAATTAAATCAATGTCTGCAGCCTCACTGCCTGTTTATCTGGGAAAAACAGAATCCGTTCAGGTGGAAGTTTCTTGCTTCATGTCAAAGACATTTACGGGCGAGATAAACAACCTTATTATTCAAATTCTTCAAGCCGCGGCGGCCCTGACAAACGGAGGTGCCACTCAGGCAATAGGATTAGTTTCAGGTGTCTCATTTATGTGAGGTACTGAAACGGTACATAACTGAGATGTTCATGTTATTTTCTGCTTTTCTGCTCTCCAGATAAGGGTAATTTATTTGGAATTGGATCTCTCTGTCCAGCAGTATTTGACTGTAAACAACTTAGTCTTTTCCTTTGTGATAAAGGTTAGGAATGTCCGCCATGTTCGGGTTGGAAGTGACAAATTATAATGTCGGAATATCATTTCAAATTTGTACAGTTTTGATAGGTATTTGTTTTGCCATCTTGTTTACCCGAGACTTGCCGTACTCTTCATCCTATTTGAGCTTATTTTGTATGTTTCTCATTACTCTGCAGATCATCACAATTGGCAGACATGTTAAAGGCTACCACTACATTATAGCCAATCTGGTAAGTTAACACATGTTCTACATTTGTCCAAGATTTTGGTACCACTTTAAATGTTTCTAAAATGCCTCAGATTGAGAGATTACATCTAGGTCTAATCTTTTTGTTATCAGGGTTTCATTGATGGGGACCTAACCAAAATCCAGTATGGCGGTGCCAACGTGTCTGGCTTTCAGATTGTTGACTTCGAGGATCCTTTGGTGTCCAAGTTTGACCAGAGATGGGAAGCCCTAGAAGAAAAGGAGTATCCTGGTGCTGACAGTAAAATAAAGGTAAGTTTAAACATTCACACACGTTGCTTTTTCTTTATTTGCGAGACAGGTTTGTTGGTGAAAGTGTCTTTGTAAGCACTTTAATGTGCCTCGGTTGCTCTAATGTAAGTAAACAATGCTGTCACTACAACCGATTTTATGACCACATTGCACTGTGTGTGCATTATTAAACACCTCTCTGAGTGAAGATTATTCTGCTCTGTAACCCAACGATACATACATTTTCCCATGAGTGCTAGCATGTCTTATACAGATTATATTATTTAATATGCACGCAATGTCAATTGAATCTTATGATATTAAATCAAGATGTTTTTTTTGTTGCCTATACCAGCCATTCGATGTAACTAAGTATAATAGCATAATCTCTCAGAATTGAACTCGCCTCCCACTCTGTGTCTTCAAGAGACTGTAAACTACTCGCAATTTACATATCAGCCTCCGCCAAAAAACTTCCAGCACCTTCTGTCTGAACAATTGTCAAAGTTCAGGATCTTTTTTATTACCTCACAGCCAGGCTGCCGAAAGTGGTTCAAGTCCGGGTGAAAAATCACTCTGACATTTACAACGCTGAACAAACTATGGCAGCACAGACCAAAAATAGAATCAGAAAATTAAAAAGACTATCAAAATACTCTCTAATTAAGACTAGTTGCCTTAACACTGAGCAGGACGTGTGGCTTGTGAGTGTTCAATACTTATTTTCAACATTATCATTTGTTTTAAACATGAACATGAGGTTAGACCTTAGAGTTAAAGCCTCTTTTGTCATCTAATTATTCTGTTCATAAAACATTGTTGAGGCGAAGTTGTGTTCAAGATCCATAGTTTGACTTGAGGCAAAGACCTGACATTATCTATGTTTGACTCAAGTCATAAATCCATCTGCATTGGAGCAAATCATGTTATTGTAGCAAAATGTGACTCCACAGGTCTGCTCTTTTTCCAAGTGAATTTAGTGTTTGGAAATAACTTCTTCATTTATTCTCTCAGCAGTGATGTTCTCTTTTATAGAGCAATCTTTGACCAGCTGTGCTGGTAAACCAAGAGCGTGCTGTGCCTGTGTGTCTGCAGTTTAATGACACCACATTCAGTGACTTCTTGGTCTTATTTAACTTTCTCACTGCTATTCCAAGAAAGACAAGGCGTAAACCTAAAGGATACGGGTGAAAACAGCCTGGAGCTTTGTTATCGTCAAAAGACCAGAGCCAATAACACATTTTAGCCAAAGCAGTCAATCAGGAGTACATTTTGTTTTTTCGTTATGGACTTCTTTTATTTGTGAATGTTGAGCTTTCTGGGTATTTATGGTAGATTCAAACTAACTAAAGTAAACAAAAAAAAAAACATGTATCAGAATCAGAATGGCTGATTAATTGCTTTTAGGGTTCTTGACCAACAACTCAAATCAATCGCCAAGGATGAATCAATATCAGCATATGGCGAGAGTAAACATTATGGTTGAAGCAAGGGTTAAGCTGACATATTCGTACCTCTCTGTCAACCCCAACCTCAATATCTGATGTCTTTGTCCTGCTCTAGTACACATCAGCGTTGACCTACGACGCCGTGCAGGTGATGACGGAGGCCTTCCGCTACCTGCACAAGCAACGCATCGACTTCACCAGGAGGGCCAACACTGGGGACTGCCTGGCCAACCCCGCTGTCCCCTGGGCTCAGGGAGGGGAGATAGAGCGAGCACTAAAACAGGTAACACATCTTACTTATACTCATCCTTTAATATGAGGAAGATCTCTCGTGAGAAATGCAGCAAATGTCCACACTGTTTTTACCATGTGGGAACATGCAGCTATACGGACAGCTGTTCTTCAGAAGAGAAACAGAGCTGAGCTTTGAATCAAGACAGATTAGCATCACTGAGAAATGGAGCCTTTCAGCAAATACTATTTTTTCTATAGCTACAGGTTCTGTCTTTGGAATACTAATCAAATTGTTAAGAACAAAAGATAAGAACAATCGATATTAACAGAGAATCTAGACTTAAGGTAATCATATTCAGACAACGTATACCTATTCTGAAACAACATCATGGGTAAAACGTGCAGATACAAATAAAGAAAAAGTACGTGAAACACTTTTTATCAAGAGAAATGCTTATGATGTTACACCAAGAGTTTGGGTTTATCGTCCATGCTGAGACTGTTGTGATCGTTTGAGCCTTGGTAAGGAATGTCGACGTAAGCTTTTCCAGAGATGATAAGCACTTTGCTTTGATGCCCTCGTCTTGTACACAGGAAGTCTGGATATGCATATTCAAGATGGGGAATAGTTGCTTGAAACCAGCCCATCGGGACAAGACAGGGAGCTAGTGGGTCGTGATCAAACATGTCAGATGATGAGCTTGTGTTTTATGCACACGTTTAATTAAAAAATGTTGTTTTTCACCCTAAAATACATACACTGTGTTTTGTTTCGAAGCAACACATAATAATGTTTACAGGATAACTCCACAGGATACCATTAAGCCTCCTTCTGGTCCTTTTCGCCGTGGCACTTTTGTTATTTAAATTGGCTACCAAAAAGAAGAAGAGATGGAAATTAATTTCCAAGTTTCTCATCACAGGCTGCCGTCTCCTCTCAAATCTAAAGAGTGTCCTCATGTCTTTTCTTCTCTTTGAAGCGCGGCATGAAACCTCATTTCAATCAATGTAGGATCACAGCGCTTACTTAGTACTGCAAAAAAAGAGGAGAATACCAGGACACCACTCTCAACTGTTCCTCATGGATAATAAGAAGCTTCTTCCAAGCTGAAATGTCTTCCCCCAGATTAGCTCAGATCCAACTACGTCTTTGAATGCAGTTTGATGAATAATACAACATACATCAAAAAGCTGTTTGCATGTGACGGAGCAGTCACTCTGCAGATGCATTTTTCTAACTGTTTGATTTCATGTCTCTAAGGTGCGTGTGGAAGGCCTGACAGGAAACATCCAGTTTGATCAACATGGCAAGAGAGTCAACTACTCAGTGAACATAATGGAGTTAAAGACTAACGGCCCTGTAAAGGTAAGCATCCATTCCACTACTCTAGAAATGAAGGGATTTACAAATGTTATTGGATATTTCTTTATCATATGGATGGTTTAAATGTGAGGCTCAGATCATGTAAAATAGCACTTTTACAGTAGTACTCAATTACATACACATGTTTCATGATATTTTTGGTTGTCTTCCCAACAGATTGGCTACTGGAATGAAGTTGACAAAATGGCCGTCACCAAATCTGATGTCTTTGCAAATGAATCGACAGGAATGGAAAACAAAACAGTGATTGTCACCACAATCTTGGTAAATATTCAAATATATGATTGCTTGTATAAACGGCTTTCATTGTGTTTCAGGGTCTCCCTTTCTGGTGTCGAGTAGCTTGGGATACAGCTCTTACTGTCGCACATTTTTCAATGCCTTGGACAAAACAAAAGATACATTTAAATGTTATTTACATTCATTGAGAGTGAATTTGCCTAGCCAACATGATTTAGGTATTTTCAATCTCACATTTTCCATTATGGAGAGGTTTCTTCTGTTTTGTTGTAGCACATCATTTCTGTATAAATCATGTTATCAGATTGACAACCAGTTTACCACCAGGCCACTTATTTACACGTATATGCTTTGTTTTAGATCCTTGCTTTCTTCTAGTCACAACGAACTGTCAGCCTGAAGTGAATAATTTGTTTTTAAAGCTGCTTTTACCATTGTTATTTGTGCTGAGTAATGTTTTCTGTTTTCGTCTTTCAGGAAGCTCCATATGTAATGCTGAAAAAGAACTCTGAACAGTTTACTGACAATGAGCGCTACGAGGGTTACTGTGTAGATCTGGCTGCGGAGATAGCGAAGCACTGCGGCTTCAAATATCAACTGAAAATAGTGAGTGACGGGAAATACGGAGCCAGAGATGCAGAGACCAAAATCTGGAACGGGATGGTTGGAGAGCTGGTGTACGGGGTGAGTGGTCTTTAACAAAAGGTAACATGAGTCATTGATCAACACCACATGGCACCTATTCTAAATATTCCGTTTTGGTTTTATAGAAAGCTGACATTGCAGTGGCTCCTCTGACCATCACTTTGGTACGAGAGGAAGTGATTGACTTCTCCAAACCCTTCATGTCTCTGGGAATCTCCATCATGATAAAAAAGCCTCAGAAATCCAAACCTGGTGTCTTTTCTTTCCTGGACCCGCTGGCCTACGAGATCTGGATGTGTATCGTGTTTGCCTACATAGGCGTAAGCGTGGTGCTGTTCCTTGTCAGCCGCTTCAGCCCGTACGAGTGGCACACTGAGGAGTATGAGGACGGGCAGATCCAGACCAATGAGTCGACGAATGAGTTTGGCATATTCAACAGCCTGTGGTTCTCCCTTGGAGCCTTCATGCGCCAAGGCTGTGACATCTCACCTAGGTAGGTCAGACAATTCAACAGCCGTAGTGTTTTTCTCACTTTAATCAACCACACATAACTTGTGACTTGAATGTAAGTGTGCTTTATTGCATTTCTTACAGAGGTTATTTTGCAAATGTGACTTAACACTTATGTTGTGTTCGGGTCTCCCGTGACCCGTTTCAAGTTAAAATTATATAATAACTACGCTCTAGTTTTTTTTATCGGAACAAGGCTTCATGATATCCTCCACAACAGCTATATAAACACTACAAAACTGATTTAGACAATTTTAGCCAAGTCTGAAGGTCTCTAAAAAAAAAAGTGTATAATTTGGTGTTGGGGTCTGGGGGAGGCCCAGCAGAATTGTTTTGGGTCACTCAGGGTCAAATTTGGCCCAATCAAGATTCATCTTTGACTTTAGACACCCCTCCCCCTTCATCCACTGTAACAATACTTTTTTGCAACATGCACCAGGTCTTACCTTTTGTCCAAAGCAACTGACAATACAACAGTAGAATAAACCATGAAGATAGCTTTCAATAAGACCAATTATAGTGTTACTGGATTGGCATTAAATAAACCAAACTTTTCCATGAGCTAGCTGCAGAAATAAGTTGTTTTTTGTTTTGCTTTAAGCCTACCCCTAACATGTTGCAACTCAGGGTTACTTTGCCACTTGAAATCAAACAAACGATCTAGTTTAGCTAAGAATTTTTCCAAGCTGCCCAAAGGAGACTCACTTGTTATAAATTCCTGCCAGGAATCTTCCAAACTACATCAAAACATCTAGTTTTTTGGTAGTAAGGTAACAAGGTCCACAAGAAGGACTGCTCATATCTCAAAGTATGCCAGCCAGAGGCATTCCTGCTGTGCTATACTTTATTCAAAAGTGCCTAAAAGGGTGATAGACTCTGTGATTGCTCATGCTTTCATTTTGTACGTTCTAGATACAAGTTATGTATGTCCTGCAGTGCTAAATAAGGGAGTTAAGTAAATGGTTCTCCTTCATTAATTTAGTGTCAGATACACTTTTGCATATAAAGATTTAATATCTTGTGAGAGCAGGCACTTGTAAGTAATGTAAGAGTCTTGTTTTCCCCGGAGATGATTCAACATGTCTTCTACATCTCATCCCGGTGATGTGAGGAGTGTGAACATGCCTCCCGATCAGGAGACTGTGTTGTTTATTATTATTATATAATGCTAGGTTATTTCTCCAACTGAAGCAAGACCTTTCTACCTAGTAATTCAAAGGCTATCACTTGAATTGCTTATCAAAATCCATTAAGAAATCCTGTTAATAAAAATAACACTTTAATGAAATCTCGTCCATCCACTCACTACAGTTGCAGAATCTTTCGTTGATAAGGAATAATATTTGAAATACCGGTACATGTAATGTACTATGGAATCATAACAAACACAAATCAACATATATTGATTTGTTTTTCCAATAGATCTCTGTCTGGGCGCATTGTTGGGGGCGTTTGGTGGTTCTTCACTTTAATCATCATCTCCTCCTACACCGCCAACCTGGCTGCTTTCCTGACTGTCGAGAGGATGGTCTCGCCCATTGAAAGCGCAGAGGATCTTGCCAAACAGAGTGAGATAGCCTATGGGACTCTGGACTCTGGCTCTACCAAAGAGTTTTTTAGGGTAAGAGATACTCTCTTATTCTATTACTGTAGAAACAAGGCTTTAGGTTTAAGACTTCAAACTTTAACACAACATACTTTACTTCTTGCATGTTCTTTCGCTGAAAATACTACCTTGTGCTGGAAATGAAATCTTAGGGGTATCATGAATTTCCTGTACGCAGTAAGGTTTACCCCGAAATATATAGTCAATTGATGCCTTACTCAACCTAAAGTAACATCAGCATACCATTCAATTTTGTTTGGAACAAATCCTAATGTGTCTAAAAGCTGATATAACTTGACTTTATTAAGAAAAGGTGTCGTTTCCTTTTTATTTTTTTCAAAACAGCGCTCAAAAATTGCCCTCTTTGACAAAATGTGGACATACATGCGCAGTGCGGAGCCCTCTGTGTTTGTGAAAACCACAGCCGAGGGGGTCGTGAGAGTCCGCAAGTCCAAGGGGAAGTACGCCTACCTGCTGGAGTCCACCATGAACGAGTACATCGAGCAGCGGAAACCCTGCGACACCATGAAGGTTGGAGGGAACCTCGACTCCAAAGGATACGGGATCGCTACGCCGAAAGGATCCTCATTAAGGTGGGTGGAATAGTATAACAATGTGTCCAATGTTGTTATAGTATCCCACCTACCCTGATGTAGCTTTGCTTATTTGTCTCTGGTTTGTATAAGGAGATGAGGTAAAGCCAATTCCCCTTCAAATTCTTTAAAACCCATTGCAATTTATTGTAAGTCGATAAATTGCAAAAAAATGTTTAGTCATTTTTTTTGATATTTGATTATTGACAAATTTGCTGCAATATTTTCCAAAATTATTACTATTAACGAATGACCGAGTATATTGAGACTCATTCCTCTAATCCAGGCTGGTTTTCAGCTGGGTTTTTGAGATTATTTTATTACTCCTATATACTCTTATTAATCTGGATTTGAACCTTTTCTAATGCTCCCATCATCTAAATTTAGATTGCTCTCCTATAGTCTTTATGTTTAGTACTGTCCTAGCTTGTCTTTTTATATGTTTCTATATGCTTAACAATTTGCCTTACTGTTCTGCTCTTTCTCTCATTTGAATAATGTTGAATTGTTGCATAGTTATATGATAAGATATTTTAGGAATGTATAGATAAATGTCTATTTTCTTACTGTGTGATTTGCTAAACCCTTGCAGTACACTCATTTTATTTAATGACATAATGACTTTTTCCTTTGTGGAAAACAATTGGACGAAACTCAAAATATATACCGCCTTTTATTTGTGGCACTGCTTGGGTTTCAATATGTATTAAGTATGCATTGTTGAATTCTGATTATTGAAGCCATTTAGATATCTATTATAGCTTTTTTCTCAGTGTGCCCCTCAATTGGATCAGCTGCACCAAAAACTCCCTCACCAAACTATTATTTAATGGGTAGTTGGGTTAGATGGTAATGTATTTGGGAAATGTTGCATGTTTCTGACATATTTCCATGAGGTCTAACCATGTTTCCCCCATTACTGCTGTTTTGCTGTCTCTCTTTTAGTGGAGTCACTTGCCAGACACTGTTATATGTATGTTGTGGATGTGAGTACGTTGCTGTAGCCACTAGTCCCCCTAGTCTTAGCACTCTGTCCTCTCTGTTGTGTTACAGCTATGCTCTGCCACCTTTGACAAACATTCATGTTACACTTGATCTTGATTATAGGATAGCTATTTTTTATAGAACTACCCAAATACTATGAGAGGGGAGGGGGGATAATATACATAAATCTACAATTTTATCTCTAAAATGAGGGAGTGATAGACAGACGATTGATAAGTGGCTCACCCTGTCTTACAAGTATGTTTTATCGTTTCAAGAAATGCGGTTAACCTCGCAGTACTAAAACTGAATGAGCAAGGCCTGTTGGACAAATTGAAAAACAAATGGTGGTACGACAAAGGAGAGTGCGGCAGCGGGGGAGGTGATTCCAAGGTCAGCCCCAGTGAGCAAAGTGATGGGTAACTCATTGCAACTCCCAAAAGTAAGCAGCAAACCAGCACAGATCCCGATCCACACTGACAGCAGGCCAGTCACCTGCTGAGTCAGCGCCACAGAAAGCAACCCTCAGCACCGTGAATCATCGGCACGTACTGACAATCAGGTCTCCAAAGAAAGTACAAGACATCTACCTTGAACTTATTAGCTTAGCCTCTTCCCATTGGCCCACTGAACTTGGATATACGGTATATCTGTTGCCTTTGCTGCTTACTTCAGGCGATACGTTAATGCACATTTGGCTCTGCAAAACTCGTATTTGCTTAGGCCAAATGGCGCATCAACGTTTATCGCCACTGCAACGGAAAGAAGAGAAAGAAATGTAAGAAAGAGAATCAAAGACAGAAAAAAAAAGTTTAATCAGTGTTAATGTAATAATAACATAAAATAACATTGATAATGTTATTTATGTTATTTTCCACGTGAAGAACGCCAGTAAACCTTGCGGTATTGAAACTCAGTGAGCAAGGAGTCTTAGACAAGCTGAAAAACAAATGGTGGTACGATAAGGGTGAATGTGGAGCCAAGGACTCTGGAAGTAAGGTTAGTCACTGCAGGTTCTATGTGATTCAAGCACACTCATAATTATTAGTGGGAATGACCCCATTTAAAGTAATGATAAATCATTTCAAGCAAATGCACAAACAAAGCATGAGATGCCTTGGTAAGATGTAATTTACTAATGCCTGCAGACTTACTAATGATTAATACCATTTATATTATTTTATAATACAGTAATGCATGCAATGTCATTCTTGAAATGTGCACTTTTTATCAAAATGACCCGTTAAATCCTCTTTTTCCAGCTCCCCAATATTCAAAGACAAATGAAATGGAAAGCTTTTTTCTTACAAAAAAGCATTCATGAGATATTAATCAATTAAAACATTTGGACACAGCTACACAAAGGAAACGCTCACAGCAATACTGAATACTGAAATCTGACAGTGATTGGCTAATCTCTGGACCATCTATAAAGGGTGTCCAATGGTGTTAACTGTCCTCTGTTGTATTCGTACCACTGTCTTTCACTGTGTAGTACCGTGTGTGAGTCTTGTTTTTGTTTATTTATGTTTGCGTGGCCTCGTGTTGATCTAAGTGTGTTATTAATGGAGTTCACACTGATTTCACAGTTACCTCTCACTCTTATCACTTAAAATATATCACAAATTATGAAAAAACCCACCATAAAAACAAACAAATAGCAAACCGCTCCTTCACCTACCTTTTTTCCCAATGTTAAGCTTCATGAAATCAATTATTAATGAAACGATCCGTGTGAAAAAATGAAGTACTTAGTTCTGAGTGATTCTCTTTCCTCAGTTGGCACTTGTTTCTTTTCCTTGATAATTGATACTCACCTCTGTCTTGTCACTAGTCCCAATTTTTAAACCGTGTAATTGTAAATGTGTTGTCTATGGCTGTGCTGTTGTCACTTTTCCAAACACACATATATTGTGCACCACTTTGAAAAGGTAGAGCCCTATGTATCCATTTGGCATCCACCTTAAATGAATACATGGGTGTTTAACGCGCTAAAAGAACTCACTGTACTGTATGTGTCAGACCCCAATTGGTTTATTACTAAGCTGTCTTCCTCCTTGTCTCTGTCTATAAGTAAAGGTCTTTGAGCACGTTTGTAACAGCTTAGCCCTTTGTTATGGGCAACCCATGTAAATGGTCCTTGTACAGTACAAATTTTGGATGTAGATCCACAACACATAGACTGTATATGCACTGCATACAAACTGTTGCTGCATTTCATTATGATTACAGTACTAACCAACCTACACTGCTTTAAATTTACCCCAAATGAAAAAGCACCTGTGTGTTATGTCTTGTTAATTTCTGTGCTTTTTAGATATTATTGGCTGTCAAACAAATGTATTATCATTATTAGATGTAGTGGTGCATTTTTGTGCATTTATAGTATTTGTTGTGATTGTTATATTCATGTGCATTTAAAAAACATTTTTCAACTTTCACTTTTGCCCTTCCGCTAACCTCTGTCTCGTGTGCATTTCACAGGAGAAGACCAGCGCTCTCAGCCTGAGCAACGTGGCTGGGGTATTCTACATTCTGGTCGGGGGACTCGGCTTGGCCATGCTGGTGGCCTTGATTGAGTTCTGTTACAAGTCCCGAGCCGAGGCCAAGCGAATGAAGGTGGCAAAGAATGCACAGAATATTAACCCACCTTCCTCGCAGAATTCCCAGAATTTTGCAACTTATAAGGAAGGTTACAACGTATATGGGATCGAAAGTGTAAAAATTTAGGGGGTAGGGAACGAGGTTTTCATAAATTCCCCCAAATGCACGCTTTTTTGGCTCCATCCGTTCCATCCTTCAGTGTTAGTGAATGAAGAGGTTGGCCACAGGATCGTATGTACTGGTGACTTATGATTTAATGAGAGAGAGAGAGAGAGAGAGAGAAAGCTATTACCCTTTTTAAAGACTAAAACTGTGTTCGTCCATTTAAGTTTCCTTACTATTTTGAACCATTTTCATGTATGACTGTTGATGGCCATGCTTGTTAATACCTCTGTCCTAGTAACGCATTTCAACAATAATGCTTGTGATGACCATGCATAAGCATTTACATGATCATTTAATCTTGCATTGTGTTACCCATCGAGATCATATTTGGTTCTCATCTACATTGTCAAGTTTTCAACATTTTATAATCTTTTAAGCTTACGTATGTTGAGATACCCTAACCTAACATGTTGCCTCCTTGTTTGTTTATGGATCCTTGTGGGTGTGAATGTTTGTGCTGGATTGTGTGTGCCCGTACACGTGACATTTGTGTATTTAGATGACCTTTGGGGACGCCATGAGGAACAAAGCAAGACTTTCCGTCACTGGAAGTAACGGGGAGAATGGTCGGGTGATGACTCCAGAGTTTCCTAAATCTGTCCACGCTGTCCCGTACGCGAGACCTGACATGGGACTAAACGTCAGCCTGACAGATCTGTCCTGATCAATGAGAAACTTCTGAGTGCCTTACAATGGTTTCAATAGAGCGTTTTTTTTCTCTTTGCCGTCCTGCCCTCCCTCCTTCTGTTCTGCGGCTTTTTCTGTCTGTCTGGTGAAAAAGGAAAAAGATGGAGGCTTCATTTTGTGGCTCACAAAGACTTGTATTGTTGCTCTCTGTCTCTATTTCTCACCGTATAAAACCCCTCTTTCTCTCTGGGTGGAATTACATCTCGGAATATAAAAGGGAGGCTCTTTTTTTTCTAAACTGATGACACCACGCTTTCCTATCTTACTGTCTGGACTGGACTGAAACAGAGACGAGGGCTTGATTGACGGCAACGGCTGCTTCTGGGAGTCCGAGTTTCAGTCATCTCAACTGTGTGTGTGTGTGTGTGTGTGTGTGTGTGTGTGTGTGTGTGTGTGTGTGTGTGTGTGTGTGTGTGTGTGTGTGTGTGTGTGTGTGTGTGTGTGTGTGTGTGTGTGTGTGTGTGTGTGTGTGTCAGAGGAAGATTTCGTCAAAATCACACTGTTTCTGTAGCCCCCACCGCCGAACAGGATTTTCAAGCACACTTGATATCATCTGCATTAAGATGTGAAAATGTCCTTTTTTTTCTAAGAAAATCAACAAAAAAAAGTTTATTGAAAAAAAGTATTTTTATGTATTTTCACAAAATAGCTTTTAAATAAACTTGCTTACATACTGGTTGGATATAACATCTTAATGTGTGAGTATTCAAAAGGAATAAAATACTAAACAGCTTATAGTTCCATATTTTTAAAGCCAAATACATTGCATATGGGGCTGAGATGTTGAAATCATGTAATTAATTCTTATTCTAAACTTTTCCTGTATATTTTATTCTTTAACATTTGGTGTTGATATGAAATATATGTCAATGCTTGACATTTGGAATCAATCCTTCTACGTTTTACTTGTTAGAGTTGGTACAGCAATTTTGCTTTATACTTTTGTCTTTTTGTTTTGCTTACAAGCTTTTGTTGTTTGTATTTTTTCTGCCGAGAACCAGGGTTGTTCTACTTTGAAAAAGGAAATTGAACTGTTTACATGCCATCAATGCAAAACAAAAAAAATAGTACAGTATTACCGCATCACATTTTAAAGTGACATCAAAAAGAGGCATCGACATCTACACAGTGGTTTTAAATGCCAAATAAGTGACAGTGCCAAAATCTAGTGCCAGTAGATATGAATATAGTCCTAATATAATCAATCACTGTCATCTCAGTGAATGTAAATTATACATTCTGTAATTTTTGTAACTAGATGTACAGTTGGTGGCAATGACAGTGCTAATACAATAGCCTTTACGCTTTGTTTCTCCATGTATTTTGCATTGATCTGACAATAAAGTAGCACCAGTTGCATGTTGTTGCAGAAAATATTACATATGTTTATTTCATTACTGCCAAACATGCATTTTCATTTAAATGTTGAAGTTGTGAGGTTAATTGTTTGAAATTGGAAATATAATGTTAGACATATATACAATATATACATACATATATTTTATACAAAAAGTTTGAAAATGAAAAATGATAGCCCCTTTTCATCAAAGCTACTCCTTCCTTTAAATACTAAATTTGGTTACTTATTAAACTAATGTTTTTTTTTAGATATTTAGTCCCAACATAAGTTATTTAGAAAACTTATGCAGACAAGCACTTTTAATTATAAGACACACTTTGTTTTATTTTTTCTAAAATTGACTTATGACGAGTCCTCAACTGCAACACACAAGGTAAACTGTATTCATATTATTACTGTTGTTTTTTAAATGAACAATATAAACATGTAGTTGCTTATTAAATTTCATCGCATATTCAGGCTATTCTCACTGACATTTTGTATATGGAATGTGTGCTGACTTGTTTATTTTTTGGGACTCTTTCTAAATAAAAGTGGCTGATCTCTTGTTATCTCAAAGTGTTTGTCATTTATTTTTGCTTGAGCAGCCCTTATCCTGAAGAAAGCATCACTGAACAAGTTTTTTATTAAATTAAAACTTTATTAAATGTCTTAAATGGACAGGACATTTAAAGGAGCCCTTTTTATGCTTTTGGGGTTTTTCCTCTCATGTAAATGGTCTGAGTATTTTCTCTCTCCCCCCCCTGCCTGAATTATGCCTCCATTGGACTTTCTTCCGGAACAAAGTGACATCACCATGTAACACTCACGCTTCTATTGGCTATAGCTCTCCAGCACATTGTGTGTGATAGGCTAAGGGGCGGGACATCTCTAAGCGGTTCACCAATCACACATTTCTGGGCTCTGGTTGCAGACAGAGGGTGAAACGAGTAGCTGCAACACAAGGCAGTATGAAAAAAATAAAGATCTCTTTCAATATTAAAGTATGTAAACATTTTAACACGGAAAAAAGTCAATGATGCAAATATATTTGATTGAATTTTACATATACAAATATCATTATTGGTTACACGTTTTAAGTTGTAGCTGTGTAGTTTATCATAAAACGGATCATTATAATGCCAAGGTTATTTGGTCAAGTTACAGGCTCTGTTCACGTACATTTTCAGACTTTAAAACGCTCTGCACACTGCACATGTGCTTTCAATTACTCCGGCTGATTAGTCTTCTGCTTAGGTCAGGTTGAGCCTGGGTGTGGCTGTGCTGGAGTTTGTGATGCCCCTGAACTTGATAACCAGGTCAGGACACAGACTTAGTGATGCAGTCTAGTGACTACTTGTCTGTGAACTGCTTAATACAAGGTCCAAAATGCCTACATCATTGCACAGAGGAAAGTTTGCGTGTGTATTGAAAGTGTATTAAAATTAAACAGGTCAGAAAAGGTGCAGTTTAACATAACACAGCTTTGAGTCCCCAGCAATACAGCTGCTGAGTAAAGTAGATCAAATGAACGGTTCTTGAGATGTGCAAAGTACACACACACACACACGCACGCACGCACGCACGCACGCACGCACACACACACACACACACAAACACACACACACATTAAAACACATCAACAGAGACTTTTTAGATATAATCCATTTTTGGTCACATCTTCAAACGTATCATTTCTGCTTTTCAGGTAAAGCAGCATTATCTGCTAGTGTTGTCACACACAGGGGGAAACATGTTTTTTCAGTGAAATATAAAGGAAGCCATGCGGTCCTATGATTCCAGAGGGACTTCCCTTTGGGAACATGAATAGTTCACTGTCACTGTTTAGTCTCATCTCAGATCTCTAAACCTGTGTTGTTACCTCCATGCATTACACTGTAGAATGTACATGATGTGTAAAACTCATGGGGTGGATGGTGGTTCCTTGAAGTGACAGGGAACACTTGCTTAAAAAAAAGCTCTTTGCTCGAGGCAAAAATCCCACTCTGCTCCTGTCGTACACCACCTACACTCCACCCACACACACTGGTCTAAACAGTATCATAGAGGAGAGGGGTGGCTCACCATCTGCTGTAAAGGTGCATCAGATGGCTCATGGTTAGTTGACACATCTGTTCTTCGTGAAAAGACTCTTTAGCCAGTTGGACCACTCTTAGAGTTCATGTCTCACCTCCAGCAGTCCTTGTGTGTTTGCTACTATTGATACTGTATCTGTGATCATTTATATTTTGGTTTGAAAGACAAGAACGAATATCAGTCTTCGGCATGATGGCAACCAAAGAATAAAGATACTAAAGGCCTTCCTAACAAGATTACTCTGGGGGGGGGGAGACTATTATTCTTTGTCTCACATGCATGCATGCGTGTATGATTAATGGGCAGTTTACAGCTAGGGTTATGATATGCAAGAGTATTTAAGATAATAGCTTGCTATCAGCCCAAGTGCACATTGCCAGCAGTCATCATATTTTACAACATGTGAGCATGAGAACAGATACAGTACATACATATATCATAACACTGCATTTGTCGAGATTAAAGTCCACAGATTGATCTTGAAGCTATTTAAAGAGCAGAATTGCCTCAGAATGATTAGATTGAATATGAACGTTACGGTACCTCTACAGCTTAAAGGTGTTCACAAATTAAGCCATCTTATTTTACGTCTCCTTGATCCTCTTTCCTTTAATGACAGAAGGATTTAGTTATTAAATTAGATATCTACAATTTGAAAGCGAGATATTCTGATACAAATAATATTTTGCCTATGAAACAGAATAATGCATGCACTTTTAGGCATTGCTCGTTGAAATCAAATATAAACACATTTCCCTATTTCAGTTTTACATATATTTCCCTGTATATCTGCGGAATAACAGCACCCTTTTGCTGTTTGACTTTCACCCACAGTAAAAATATTTTCATAACCTTAATGAGCCCCCCTTTTTGTAGTTTTACCCTTTAATTTAAGACCAATGACTTATTAAAGGTTAGGATTATCCCCTGGCTACATGGCAAACCTTTCACTTGTGAGAGTAGCTGCAGCCTGAGGTTGGTTGCCATGTATTGCTTTTGAAGTTTTTATACCTGCATGATATGAGTATTATTAATACGTGTGTAACAAGGTTGAAAAAATACGAAACATGTATTTAGATTCTGACTTTAGAAAGCAGCCCACCTTTGATTTTGTTGTGTGGAAATGATTTATTGAAGTAACATTCCCCAGGAGCTATTCCGTATTTCCACCAATCAGTCTCACCACCGTTGTGTAATCAAGTGTGCTTATGGGCCATTAGTTCAGCCTATCACGCCACGAAGGGATGGTTAACCAAAATGAATTTTCACCCATGTGAGCAATCAGCCTGAGAGGTGCAATCTCTCTCTTTCTCTCTCTCTCTCTCTCTCCCCAGCATTTCACATTGCCGGGTGTCATAGGACGTTTGGAGAGGATCCTCCATTGGCTGAAGCTAACGATGACAGAACGGCCTGAATCTGTCGCCTCATATGGTAGCAGCATTAGCACAGCCTGGGCAATGCTTCATTCAGATGTATTAACTAAGGCCTTACCTTTCGTTCATTCTAATGCAGCAATGATAGAGAAATGCTCACACAAAAATGGTTGTGCATATTTGAAATACAAGAGCCTAATGCAACCAAGTGTCACAAACTTCCATCAACTTATTGCCGTAGTCCTATTTTTATTAGACACTGAAACACGGCTTTCATCTTACTGTTTCAGTCAAACAATGTAATATTTTGTGTCTATCTCGTTCACATTAGGAATCAAATATGAGTAATAGATTTGGTGACATTTAGTTTCTTATTGATCCATTTTATCTCTACTTTTACACAGCTCATTTTTTTCTGTGACATTTGTGGTTTGCCTAGCTTAGTCAGTCGGCCAGCTAAACTTAATGGAGGTGACATCAAACTTAAATGTCACCAGACTGCAATCAAGGAGACAATTTATGTCAGAATTGTTATTGACTTATTTACCCATTTAAGAGACCAATGGAACATACAGTATTAGGACATGTTTTGCAAGGTATTTCCAGACATCTGCAAATAAAAGAGTAACAATCATGGCATCTAAAACAGCAGCTCAGTTTCCTGTCAGTCCAGACAAAGGGCAGAGAATGGCAATGTCCAGTCCTTTTAGCACCTGAGCTATAAGACAGCGATGCAAACAAAGGATCAGATGAATTTACATCACAGTGATTCAGATGGCCATGGACAGGGATTAGCTTTGCCTCTCAAACCCCTTCAGCAAAGAGATGTTTACTACAACAGAGCAAGATTACACCATGTAATGCACAATGTTTCCGTTGGTGAAACACTTTTGATAAAATAGGTCACACATAATTGTTTAACCTAATTAATTGCAGTCTCTTAGGGATGAATATAATTAATTTTATCTCATAAGAAAAAGCCTGGAGATGAGAAACTATTCCTTTTCTCTCAAATTAAGAACTGTTTTCATTGTCATGGCATTAAATAACATGACCTGTTGTCTTTGAATCAGGAACAAGTATTGTTGCTGCTGCATTCTACGGGTGCATTACTCAAAAACAATTCACAATTGTGATGTTATATGCTGTGAATTTATTTAGATGAGTACATAACACTGGTTGAGATAAATGATAATTGATTAGCATGTGGATTCAATTAACCCAAAATGGCTCCGGGTAGCCAATAAATGTTGTTGTTGTTGTTGGGAGAAATGTCAACACTCATTAGTGTTGTAACATGAAAAATGACGTTGTATAGACCATGTTATCTAGTTAAATATATAGGAAAAAAAACGATTTGAACTTCATTTATGCCGTACATAATATTTATACTATTTTGACTTAATCAAAAAAACAAAAAAGGGAGAATTTATTAAGAATAAAAGATTTATAAAATGTTGCAAAGGCAAAATATGAACTATAAAAGCAAGTAACACTACTGAAACCTTTAGACCCCCCCAAAAGAAGCATGAGGAGGTAACTTGGGGGGCTCTTCACTTCTTTGAAACCAAATGTTGCGCGTCTTGTGAAGAAGGGGATAGACTTATCGTGTGGTACACATCTTAAAGGCAAGGACATTTCCAATGCAGATGCCACATTTCTGAATAATTTCTGCTTGTATTATGCACAGCCCCTAATAGAATGGTTCATAAGTGTTTACTCCTCTCATTAGTCCATACCTCTAATTGGGGAGGGGGGGGATAAGATTACTCTCTTACTGGATGTAATCTAATCACCACAGAGCGATTAGAAACCCAGAGTGCCTACATCTCAGCACTGCCACGCAGAGCAAGGATGAGCAACATATTTCTGAAGCAGCCAAGGTGGGTGGGTGGTGTTGTGTGCTGTAAAACAGTTATCCTCTGGCTGGGTTGTCATGGCAACTGTGTTTGCTGGGTTTCTCATGTTCCAGTACAGCATGTCATCCCTGTACTGTTGCACGTTGGCGCGCAAATAGGTTGGGGTGGGGGATGGGTTTGCTCCTTCATGCATACCTCCATTTTAAGTGAACCATGAAAATAAAACAAACAGCTGTTGTGATG